CTTCCTCAACAAACGGGCTATCTAATGCAAAAAGAATTTTTCAAATCGGATTAGTAGTTCCTGAGATTGGTGCGTTCAAACAAACAAAGTGTATAGATAGAGATAAAGTATAGATTGGACTTTATGATCTAGTTAATGCCGTTGGCCCCGCTCGTAACACGGCATTTCGCCGAGTACCTATAGCTTCTTTTACTTATTGTAAACATGTTTTTAGTATAAGTTTAATATTTTTCGATACATATTCAAAAACAAGTTTTGCCTTTAAATAATATATATCCACTATAGACATACAGCATGTGTACGGTAGTTATTCAATATTCATTTATATGTACGTAGCACTGAGCAATGAGATGACATTCTTAAAATTAACACTTGCGACCTTGTTATATGATAATTGTTTACAATTTTAGGCTTCAACGTGGCTTTTGATGGCAAAATATTTGTTAAAAATATAAAAATATTTTTTTTTAGTTTTGAAGTATACATTAAGTATAGTTAAATTATATTTAAAATAAAATAAAGCACCGATTTCAATATCATTTAAAAATGGTTATATTTTTAATATGTGGTGTCCCCATAGTTCCCTTGAGGTATAAATTCATTAAAAATCGATTAACGCGAACCTAATTATCATCATCACCAGCTCTCTGTCCATTTCCCAATCACTTGGGGTCGACGCAGTACATCTTCCATGCTGCTGATAGGATTTGGCAAAAGTTTTACGACCGGCCGCCTGCCTGGCATCAACCCTCCATGAATGCTATTGTTGTACGTGAACCTATTTGTAAAAAACACAAAAATAAAAATGCAGCCGAATTGAGCAGCTTTCTTTTTGAGATCGACAAAAATATTTAATCTTGTCAAATAGAAGCGAAAAACTATGTTAAAAATTACAAACGCTCATGAAGAAAAACAACTTGAAATGTACGTATAATGTTATTGCAAGCATGGTATCTTTTGGCACGATACATTCTTGCTCTAATTTAGCTATGCTCTCGTAGTTTTACTCAGATATTTTCCTCAAGGTAAATTCGTAATAGGTAAGTACATAACTTTTAAATTGAAAATTACTCAATATCGTCATATTAGCCTTCATAATTTTCCTTACTTATGAGTAAATGTTACTCGATACTTTTTGTTGCACTTTGCCTTGTGATTAAAGTATACTAAATAATATAAAATATTCAAGATATGTATTCAGCCCTTTTTAATGTCCAACTGCTGGGCACGGGCCTCCTTTCAAGATGAAGGGATCAGACCATAGTCCATCACGCTTTCTAAGTGTTGGCGGACTTCACATATCTTTTAACAACTTGCTAGGTTCTCTCAGACATGCAGGTTTCCTCACGATGTTTTCCTTCACTGTTAAGACAAGTGGTAATCATGTTGGAAATGATTCACACATGAAAATATCAGAGGTGTGACACACGAGATTTGGACCCACTTCATTCGGTTTCCCAAACGGGTGCGTACCACTGTCCTCAAGGTATATAAGTATATATTATATATTACGTATATTCAAGGTATTTTTGCCATTAATTTACAAAGTTTCCATAACTCATAGGATTTACCCTTCGGCAAAAATGTATCTGTTTTCCTTTATAACTAAATGACTTGATGAAATTTTAAGTAATTTCAGATTTTTTTGTGTGTTTAAGTTGTTGACTTACTCGTCTTACTCCTATTAGATCAAATGTCGAAAGTTTAGTGATGTTATTATTAGTACTAATGATACGCCCTCACTTCGTTGTTCGTACAGATTAGTCCCTGTGTAAACAAAAGCATAATATGTCTTACTTTCTCGAACCGTCCGACACAAAAAGCCATATCACTCGATATTGCCTCTGTTTGATTTTTATTATAACGTGTTTTCCATTGGAAAGAAATATTTTTCTTACAGCTTATTTCAATTTCCAGCCCCCAAATTATCTTCATACGAAAAATACACATTATCCGTTGTTCTGTTTCGGCGTGAAAAAGGATAAACAAAAAAAACGTACTTTCACATCTATCTGTACAGTATACATACCTACATATAATATTGTAACTCGATACAGAAGCCGAATCTATAGTTTTTAAAAAATTTATCTGCCTGTCTGGGAACGCATCACGAGAAACCCACTGGACAGATTTTGATGAAATTTGGTATGATGATAGCTGGTTATCCGGGTCAACATATCGGATTCTTTTTATTACGGGAAAATATCTCATCTCTAAAAAAAATAGATAGTATACGTTAAAACATATCTAGGGACGAACCCGCGAAGAGTGAGGGTGAGTCACTAGTTTATAATATAAGTATGCATAACGTCACAAGGTAGTCTTAAGTAACCATTACTATATGAGATATTTTAATGAATATAAATACTCTAATTAGAGGAAACTTGCCAGCTTACTTAGCGTCCAACGAAATAAGCGGATGTGTCAGAATATGCTGGGAATTGTGGAATAAAATTACGAACTACCCTCTCAACGAGGTATCATCTAACGAAGTTTTGTATCTCTATGTAATAACATCCTGATGGAAACTGGAACTTTACCTATTATATGGAATACCTATATACATACGTAGAAGTGATACAAGCTAAATCCCTAACTTCGTCAACGGCGGATGATAAAAGAGCTCGTATAAATTACGTGATAATATCTTTACATGCAATTGCATGTCCTAACTGACTGATTCATGAACACTCTCACCTACCCACTGGGGAAAGAAAATGGTAAAAATATGACAATATACTTAAATATAACGAATAACCTAAATCTTTTAATATTGATTTACTAATGTTATATTAAATACAATTATTAATTTAGTTTATTCGAGACGCGTCTGATAGACTACGTATGAGATACTTTAAAACGTATTAAATTAACTCAAACTGGATGACTTTACTGCTAACCATTGATCAGTTTCTCCTGTCTTTATCACCAAACCAGCTAGATGTTGAAAAATTGGATGCAGTTATGCAAAATGGATCCAGCTTTCAAAAACCGTTTTTTGAGGATGAAATACCTGATATTTAAAAGGAATTAAAAAAAATACGGTTTTGTTATTTTGATATACCAATTTTACTAATATTTCTATTTTCTCAGAAGTATATTTTTGTGGTTGGATCTTTTTTGCATGACTACGTCCAATTATTATATTGACATCTGGAATCCACATATAGACATAGTTTTAAACCTACACGTTATTTACAAGAAAGTTAAAACCAATTTCTTAGATTTGATTACACATTTAGGTGTTTAGTTACAGTGAAGCTAATAAAAGCATGATAAAAATAAATAACAAAGTTCGTTACCCTGCGTAAATGTTATTATATCTTATCACAAATACTGTGACTCATATTGACAATATCTTTTACGATATCACTTCATCTTCTTCTTTTACGGCACTTTCAGGTACTATACTGTAAATGAACATCATATCATCCTTACATATTTTGACATAGTGCTTCATTGTTTGAGTGTTTAGTCAATTTTTTAAATTGTTTACCAAGGTTCTAACCACTACTCTATATCAGTACATTTTTTCATAGCTTCCACGTTATGGCCTAAATCACTCGAGCCTGTAAACTATTTCATATCAGCAAAATGTACATTTATTCACCCATAATCTATGTAGGTATAATATGATGTATCATGATTGTCTATTACTCTTGTTTGCTAATCTACATTGTCTTTCCTATTACTCCTTAAATATCAGTTCAGGGTCAAAGTTTAGACTGTAAGATCTTTCTATCGATAAAGTTTTGCTAAAGTTTCTGTACACGCTGGAATCTCGCAAGGTCATCAAGTAAGAATGATTTAACGCTACCAAAGTATTTAAAGCTAAAAGTATCAAGATATTACAGATATACCGAGTAGCACTATGTCATATCTCACCGAGACCCAGTTTCATGTGAGCATTCGCGACGCGACGGCTATAATTAGCGGGGGCGCGTCCGCGAGCAGCGTCTAGTGCCATCGACCTGTTGGTTCCACATGCCAAACATACCAACTTATATGTATGAATAATTAATTTTTCCACATATTTAAAAATTTACTAATATCCTGCCTTACTGCTGTTACCTGTTTTTAGAGCTGCAGTTGACAGGCAAAAACCGAACGCTTATAGATTCGACATGTCCGTCCGTAACATACGGATATACAGCTATAACTACCATATATTTTATTATTTATACTTAAATTTTGGAATAAAAATTATAATATGTTCATTACTGATTTAGTTCTCCACAACGGCCGATGTGATTATTTCGTCCGAACACGTCAGACGTATTACCAGATCAATCACTTTACCGTTTACTGTTTAATGTTGTCACAGTCAAAAAAGATTTGCTTATAAAATTAAAAATAAACAACTGGATTTCCTTTGTAAATATTTCGATTTAAGCGTGTAAGATAGTAGATACATATGATATGGATGATGTTAATTTTATAAAATATTATATCGATTTATGTCTCTGACGCGACGCCTTTTGCGATTATAATATTTAGGCCCTTAGGGAATTATCAATCACCCTCACTTACAATTAGTTCGGTTGTGTCCACTTTTGCCTAACAAGGTGGACACAACTTCTTCTTCTTCTTCTCCCTGCCCATTTCCCAATTACTTGGGGTCGGCGCAGTACATCCTCTGTACTGCTGAAAGGATTTGGCAAAAGTTTTACGACCGGCCGCCTGCCTGACGTCAACCCTCCTTGGGAATAACAAGGTGGACACAACATGGACTAAAAAAAACTATATTTTACCCCAAGTTATAATCTATTTGGCTACTAAAATGCGATGCGATTTTGATGAAATTTGGTATGATGATAGCTGGTTATCCGGGTCAACATGTAGGATACTTTTTACTGCAGGAAAATATATCAACTCTGAGAAATCTAAGTATATATAAGAGGATGAGTCGCTAGTTCTTTCCTATAAAGAGAGAAGAATTTATCGTGTCTTTTTTTAAAGTAATGTATTGTGTTTTTGTTACAGGTTGAAAACGTACAGAGATGTTTATAGACGAGAATGAAACGTAAGTACCTACTTTGTTATTTTTTTTAGTATTAGATATTAGTACCAGCAATAATTTTGCCAAAAACATTGAAGAAAAAACTACAAGGTCATTATGAGCATGATTGATACATGTTGGTGTTAGATTTCGCGAGGTATGGCATTATTTTTTTTTTTTGATTAGGTATTGGTATTCTAAATATTGAACGAATTCTTTTATAATTGCTTGTTTACATCAAAACGTACGTGAAAATAAAAACTTATCCTTTCTCTTACCAATAGCTTTGTTTTTTTTTCTGAAGTATTTAGTATCATTAACGTATTCAATAAAATATTAAAGTATTAGTATGCATTAAACCCTTGAAGTAGTTAATTTTTCGTATTTATTTTATCCTATGGGAACATTTTCCATGCTTTTCTCCTCTTTTACCTCCACGCAGCAAACTATCTGCACTAAATTATATTACGGGCTTAGTGCTTTGGTTGCAGAGTAATATTTTGTAAGGTTAGTCTGTTTTGATTTTAATGTTCTAGCCAATGTAAATAGACACGTCGAAGATAGATATTCTATGTGTTAGCCGGGGAGTTGATCTATCGGCAGGTTCATTGAAAATACGTTTAACGACTCACGCGTGAGTAACAAAAATCCGACTCGGCTATCTTTGCAAACTTTTTTGCCCAATCTATACTAATATTATAAAGAGGCAGAGTTTGTTTGTTTGTTTGAACGCGATAATCTCAGGAACTACTTATCCGATTTGAAAAATTATTTTTGCATTAGTAAGCCCGTTTATTGAGAAAAAATATAGACTATATATCATCATGTTACTACCCTACATTTTCATTTTCTTTTCATGTCATAGAAGACATTTTTTTTAAGTTTTAGCGTGAGCGAAGCCGCGGGTTCTGCTAATTATATTATTATACTCACATATATTTTTATTCTTGGGTTAGGCTACATTGCTAACTATATTTTATCATAAGCTCCTTATAATTCATATATCTACTGAATTAATTAATCTGATTATCTTATCGCATTTTGAGCGCGATATCGTAAAGTATGTAATAGTTAAAATTAAATCTGAGTTTTTGATTTAACTTTAGTTGCTTTATCGCTAACACTTGTTTGATTTACTTTTAAGTATGATTTTTTTTAAATATCTATATGATGCATATTCAGTAGTGACTGATTTTGATTAATGATGTGCCTTTAGGAAATTTTTTACTTTCCAATCTACTGGCAGGTATGGATTACGATAGCTATATAAATTTTTACGGTGCGTTTTAACGGTTAGCTCGGAATAGATAGACTATATATCTATAGGTACTAATATTATAAAGATACAGAGTGTGTTTGTTTGAACGCCCTAATCTCAAAACTACTAATTCGATTTGAAAAATTATTTTTGCATTATATGCCCATTTATAGATGAAGGCTATAATCACCTTAGGGAGCGGAGCAATAATTATAAATGTCAACAAATCGGGCAGACTTCCATACATTATTGTAAAACTGATGTTTATTTCGGAAGTTTGAACGCGGGCGAAGCCGCAGGTACTGCTAGTATTATATATGTAGTACATACGTATAGTATTATATATGGACATAATGGTAATTAGTCACAGTGATTATGTAGATAAAATTGTATTTTTTTGTTATGTAACATATGATTATATTACAAAACGATCAGTGTACCTATATACTTATAAATATAATTCTTGGCTGATTCTGACATTGAGTATATGTAATTACTGTTTACTTGCACAATACAAATGCTAATAACAATAAATATGCCATTGATTTAAAAAAAAATGTTTAGTCTGTGAAGTACAGATTAATCATCGAAACGATTAGACCGTTTGTAATGTAACTTTCAGTGGCACGCAGAGCTCTCTTATACCAGAAAAACAAAGATCCCATGGGATTGGGGAAGTAATGTTGTATAATAATTTTATTATTCTACGAAAATCCCTCAATACATTTTAATGAAAGTGAGAATTTTGAATAATCGACCCTTTCCCTTGATTGTGAGATAAATCAGGACTCATAGGGGCTCTGTTATATTTTAATATTAGCATTTGGAGTAGCAAATGTAATTGGGCATGTCCGCCCGCAGCTTTGTCTGTGTACATACACATTTGTCTCACGTATTTATATTATTTTTGAATTTTCAAAAAAGCATTATGCCTAATATAAGAAAATATTTGAATTACAGGAAAACTCTTTATGTCAGATAACCATATGATATCATCTTCTCCACTATAGAGAGTGTTTCTGAAAATTTTCAATATTCAATATTTATTATCTGTTATGAATTATGATTCAAACTTAATTAGTGCTAAATTAATATAAGAATCTAATACTTCCCATCTGCTATATTTTATTTGATATTCTATCAGCGAATATATTTATTTGTTCTTCTCACTATATAGCCTTATGGGTGAGATTCGATCGTACTTTGATTCTTAGACTGTAAAGGGATGTTTAAAAATTGTATCAAAGCCCCAAAAGTTGTAAACTGACTTTAACACACTAAAAATAGTTTTATGAACATAAAAATGTGAATTTTAACTGTGTACAATGTGCATAGGTAGGTGGTATAGGTGTACTTTTGCGTAGTAGATAGTAGGTATACGTATACATTGCGGCTGGCAGAGAAAATTGCAGTGATTGCTGCTTTTTTTATTTTTTTATTCGGGCAATTTATAACATCGGAGCTCGGGAGTCGGGATACCCTATGAGAACTTTTTAAAGAAAAATGGTGTAGGTACTTACGGTTGCATCGCAACATATATATATATATATATATATATATATATATATATATATATATATATATATATATATATATATATTGTACCTAATAGTATATTTTTCCGACAAAACATTCATTGCTATTTGAGAGACAGTAACAGACACGGGATAAATACTAGAAATAAGGATAAACTGGTAACGCCTAGCTTTCGCCTTCAAAAAGAGAACACATCGTTTATGGGGCAAGGTTTACACGCATGTATAATAGAATTCCACGGTCGACTTTGAGCTTGCCATTTAAATAATTTAAGTGTAAAATTAAAAATATATCTATACTAAAAAGAGGTAAACTTTGTGAATTTGTGGTTTTGTAGGGGGTAATCTCTGGATTTACTGAATCGGTTTAGATTTAGACGAAATTTATTAAGAAGATAGTTTGAGACCCTGGGAAGGACATATGATACTTTTTATCCCGGAAATCATCCCTTAAGGGGGTGAAAATGGGGATGAAAGTTTGTACGGGACATCAACGTAGGGACGAAACCGAGCGAAGCGAGGGTGAGTCGCTAGTTATTGAATAAAGCTTATTACACCGTCACGGAATACTTTTTAGATGTCCGTGTGGAACTAATGTCTGGTTGGGTCTCACGTAGGATAAATAGATAATTATTGTACTACAATATTGTACACAATTATTATTTTAAAAGAGCAACTGTTGAGTTTCTCGCCGGCTCTTCTCAGCAGAACTGCATTCCGAGCCTGTGGTACATTCCTCACGGACTGACTACACTGACATTTAATTTAAATTTAAAATGTAAAATTGACGATTCAGAAGAGCTCGTAAAAGTCTATTTGAATAAAAGTATATTTTGATTTGAGTTTTGGACTATACCTAATAAATTCCTAATTTCATGAAATCATATAAATCTGGATCGCGACAAAACAAATAGATTATAATTCTAGATATAAGCTACTATCGCCAAAGGGATACGGCAATCATCCAACCGTCGCATGGTACTAATTACATGCCTTTATCATTTTATTATAATTTTAAAACATTACTCCAATGTCCGGCTACCTATCGCCATACAATGTCCGTCTTCATCCTTCTCCTTATCAGATAGCTTATCATCCGTCCTGCTATATAATATTAATTTTAATCGCTCACTCTCAGTAATGCCAGTCAGTAATAACACTCTGTAAACATCTTGATTGATTGTGTTCCAAGTGATTTGCCAAAATGGGGGTTTATTCACGTAAAGCGTAAGTGTTAAATTACTTGTCGATAGTTTCTCTCCCTTACATTATTAATCTAAAATGTATAATAAATCTATATATATATATATATATATATATATATATATATATATATATATATATATATATATTTAAATTAATCTATGAATATTGTTTGAGTTTGAATTTCAATAAATTTCATGTACGTTTAACTCGTAAATAAGGTCGTTTAAAATAATTCCGTTTGTGAAAGTTATTGACAGAAACTAAGTAGGTAAATATTACTATTTAGTATATTATTATCAGAGTATGTTCAGTATAATTTAGCTTTACGACTTAAATATTTTAATTTTTAATTAAATCGATAATATCAATTTACATAATAAGTAAATAATGATAAGGTTACTTGTGAGTTAATTATCGTTACGTCATTTCGCAAAAATTAGAAAATATTAGAAAAGAACGACGTACTTTCTTCAAGTACATATCTTCAAGTAAATTTTTAATTGGTAAATCATTGTTCTCGCAAATTCGATAAAACCTAATCACTAATTGGGCGAAGTAGCTAAAAAAATAAGTGAACGATGACGTCAATGTTTTGGTGATACTACTTGCTTTATTCTGCCACGGGCTGGCCATCGCATAGGCTAATCCTGACAATATAAATATGTTAAATCTCAAAATCACCGCCGCTGTTAGACCTAGTTCTTAACGAAAAGTTTAAATTAAATGTGACTTTTAAGTTATAAAAAATATTCTGCTTAGTTAAAAGTAATATTTCTAATGTTATTCGATTTGTAATGTTCTAATGTTATTTGTTGTGTGATATGAGAATATTCATATTAATGGTACATATTTTAAGTCTCTATCATATACATAAATATATGGGGCTAGCGACTCATCCTCACTTCGCTCGGGTTCGTCCTTAACTTGATTCCCCATACGAACTTTCATCCCCATTTTCACTAGAGCTTCGATCAACAGTAGTATTGTTGATCGAAGCTCTTAAGAGATGATTTCCTGAATAATTA